CTGCAATGCTACACCAGAAAAATGGAATTCAAGATATTGGTCACTTTGGATTTCCCAAAAAAAGCTAAGGAAAAATGGGTTTGTATGGGTATTAGTGCCAGAATTTCATCTGGGTTTAGTCAGGTGATCTTGATGGAATTCAAGAAAGATGGAATTCAAGGTACTGATCATTTTGGATTTCCCAAAAAGCAAAGGAAAAATGGGTTTGTATGGGTATTAATGCCAGAAATTCACTTGGGTTTAGTCAGGTGTTATTCATAGCTGGAACTGGAGGATTTTTAGATTTCCCAAAAAGCTAAGGAAAATCAGTTTTGTCTGGGTATTAGTGCCAGAATTTCATTTGGGTTTAGTCTTTAGGTGATCTTGATGGAATTCAAGAAAGATGGAATTCAAGGTATTGATCACTTTGGATTTCCCAGAAAGCTAAGGAAAAATGGGTTTGTGTGGGTATTAATGCCAGAATTTCACTTGGGTTTAGTCAGGTGATCCTGATGGAATTCAAGAAAGATGGAATTCAAGGTATTGATCACTTTGGATTTCCCAAAAAAAGCTAAGGAAAAATGGGTTTGTGTGGGTATTAATGCCAGAATTTCATTTGGGCTTAGTCATGTGATATTCATAGCTGGAACTTGAGGATTTTTGGATTTCTCAAAAAGCTGAGGAAAAATGGGTTTTGTATGGGTATTAATGCCAGAATTTCATTTGGGTTTAGTCAGGTGATCTTGATGGAATTCAAGGTATTGATCACTTTGGATTTCCCAAAAAAAGCTAAGGAAAAATGGGTTTGTGTGGGTACTAATGCCAGAATTTCATTTGGGTTTAGTCAGGTGATCTTCCTAGCTGGAACTTGAGGATTTTGAATTTCCCAAAAAGCTGAGGAAAAATGGGTTTGTGTGGGTATTAGTGCCAGAATTTCACTTGGGTTTAGTCAGATGATATTCATAGCTGGAACTTGAGGATTTTGGATTTCCCAAAAAGCTAAGGAAAAATGGGTTTGTGTGGGTATTAATTTCATTTAGATTTAGTCAGGTGATCTTCCTAGCTGGAACTTGAGGTTTTTTGTGAGATGCACTTTTTGATTGCAGAGCTGCACCTCTGAGTTACAGCCTCACCCCTGTAACACAAACCATCTGCTGGTTCCTCACTTCCCAGCCTGTCATTTCCATGTGGAACCCATTAGAACCCAGGTTTTACTGCTCTGCTTCCCTTGCTGGGGTCCATTCTGTGCTCACACAGAAAATGAGCAGTAACTCCTCCATATAAGAAATCTGCCAGTGCTGAAGCCTTGTTAGAAGCTGTTTCAAGGAGAACACTTGCCTCAAGCTTCCCCTGCTGGTGCTTGTACACCACTTGAGGGCAGCCCTGCAGTATGGAACTGTACAGCTTCTGGAAATGGGCAATGTTGGGCTGCACTATGTTGTGCACTTTGAATCTGTCTTCTCCTATTATCATCCTGAAATCACCTAGGCAGGAAAAGAGAGAGTTCAGCTATTAGGAAAACCCCAAAACATGAAGGAGAATATCACAGAAATCAACATAGTACAGAGCTGTCATTTAAATCTCTGCTCTCCAATATTATGTATGCCAACATAATCCACAATAATCATCTTCTAAGAGTCAAAAAAACTATTCAAACACCTCCAAGCACAGAAAAAATGTCCTTGAAGGCACATATTTTATATATATATATATATAGCTTCTGATACAATGTCATCAGCCTACCTGTCCACATCTTTAGATGGAAACAAAATAATTCCAGCTGTTACTGTCAAGTAACAGTTACAGTCTTTGCAAACAATAATTACTGAACAAATTGCCCAATCCTCATACTTTGTATCCATAAGAAAATGAGCTGAAATGTTCCAATTTGAGAGGTAATAATTTGCATTCTGCACTCCAAGGGCAGCACCTGCAGTTCAGCAGTCACTGTAAGATCACTGGATGACTTTTTCTCTTAGCCATGCATTGTGGCAGTAGTTCCAAAAAGCAATTCCTTTTAACACTGCTGTTACATTACTGTTAAATGTTACAGTATAACATTTATACTGCAAATATAAATGTGACATTACTGGCCTTTACAGATACATGACTGTAAGTTTCAAAGGGAATAAATGAAAAGCCAGTCAGTCTGTATGAAAGCACTCCACAAGCTCTGTGAGGTACCAGCCTGGCTGCCTGCAGGGTTTCCAGCCAGGAGCTGGATGCTCAGTGTAGCTGCTATCACCAACCAAAATTCTGAATCAATTCCTTTTCCCACTTCCCACATTCAGGAGAGAAATGTTGTTGAAAGGTGCCAACTTGCTAGCCTTCCTTAGTTTATTTCAGTTTATGCAGAGCCACAAAACAAACACTTCACATATAAATGCTACTGACTCAGTGCTCTCAAAAAATGCAGGAGAAAATAAAAGAGAAACATTTTCTAAATTAAAGCATTAACAAACTCTTCTCAGCAGTCTCCAAGGAGACTGATTAGAGTAACACATAAAATCAATTTTGTCTACTAGTACAGCCTCTGAAAGACTGAAGGAAATGGCAGCAAAACAAAAATCCACCAGCAGCCTTTTCCTTGTGCATCCCCAGCTGGGAGCTGTGTGGCTGCAGCTTGCTCACACAGCACAGCCAGTCTCAGCATTTCACTGATTTTTGTTTAACTGCACTATTCCAAAGAGTAAATAAATATTTTGGTCAGGTGGGCAGAGGAGCACTGAACATCCCTGGCTGGCAATCCCACTGTCAGCACCTCCTCCTGGTGCTGTAAAACAGGCTAAAATTCAGGAGAGAGCTGCTCTGGAAAAGCAAGCTGCAATCTGAACTGCCCTGGGAAGTGTTACATAAAGCAGTGACACTCCTGAGTACAGCCAGGCTGCAGCTCAGACCCCTCTGTGCTTCCTTTAAAAGCCAAAATGCATTTCTGTATGAGCCAGGGAAGTGCTGTGTAAAGTACAACTCCAACCAAGCTCCTTCATGGTAATTCCAGTAAGGATGTCAACATTTAAAAAGCACTGCTGAGTTAAATTGTAACAATTACATCTTATACTGAAAAACCATTTCCAGTAGTTTTTTCAATATTTTTCCTTACCAATTTCCTTAAAAAAAAAAAAAGAAACTCAACAAATACCAAGCAGGAGTGTTAAATGTAAATCAAAGAATCATAATCAGGATCTTTGAGTTAACTAAGAGCCTTAAACACAGCACACTCAACAAGAGATGACAAGCTATGAGTCAGACTATCAGATGACTCAACATTGCACTGAGTGCAAAGAAACATTTTTTTTTCCCAAGGTTTTGAAACATTCCACCAAAACACAATCCATGCAAACAGGAGAGAAGCCCCATTATTTCATCAGATCCAATCACTCCCCCTGAGCTGCTCACAAACCAAGCAGGTACAGGCAGTGCTGCTGAGGCAGCTGCACCTATTTCCTGTGAATAAAGCCAATGACTGGGGCTGTTACATAACCAGGCACAGAGAATTCTGTGAGTGCAGGCCCAGAGCAGGAAGGGAGATGAGTGATCACACCTGAGAGCCCCAGACTCACCAGAGTAGGAGAGGCCAGCAATCTGCAGGAAAAGGTCCTCTTCAGAGAAGCTCTCTGGCAGCATGAGGAAGGATGCCAGCACTGCACTCTTCAGGTTGCTGACAAGAGCAGCCTGCAGCTTGCTGTTCTCATTCTGGGCCAGGATTTTCACCTGCAAAAGCACAGACATTAGGAAGCAAGACCACAGCAAAGTGCTACTGAAGCTGGAGCTAGAAATGTTATTTATTTTTCATGCCAGATTGAGTAAGAATGAATTGAAGAGTAGATGTTACTAGCATGGTACAACAAGTACCAGAGTATCCCCACCATGTGAGAGAAAACAATGTGATTTTAAGAATTAAGACTCTGCTAGAAAAAGCTGTTTTCACACAGTGGCTTGGAAGTGCTACATGAACCAGACATGAGCTAGTCACCTTTTCATACTTGTGAATTTAAGATTAATCAGAACAGGAAACATGAATGCATCAACAGATGTGTGATTGTGCAATAAGAAAAAAGACTATAATAAAGAGAACAGAACACCAGACAGAATTTTCTTATTCATCTTCTTTTTTCTTTTTTTTGTTTTTAATAGAGGACTCTCCTATCAAATGCTTCAAGCAGTTTCTCAGCCAGGGGCTGTGCTAGAGGAAGCAGGGCTTTATTTTTGCATTTTGCTTGAGGGGATCCTCACTTACCCATGAGGAACAGATCACTTGAATGCCTCTACCTGCCACAGGAAGTGTTTATTTTTAGGAAACATTGAAACTGTTCAAGACCAACTAGAGAATCAAATCACCTAGGGTATGGAAATACATTGAAATAAAAAGCAGATCTTTGGTAAGAGCTGAAGACAGAAACAGTGGCAGATGAAGGGAAGCTGGTTTGGGAGATGGATAACTGTGCAATTCCAGAAACAACTCCCTTAGGAATCCCTGCTTGCTGGGAGTTTGTCTTTTTCAAGTGCTCTGGTTAAGCAATCCTGTCTTGCTTATAAAAGGCAGCTTTTAATATCTGTCTATTCTACAACAACTTTGTGAACAAAGGTACCCACCTTGCTTTTTCTCAAATCTCATCAAGAAATTCACTCAGATGCACATTCCTAACTTGTAGCTACGGGGAAATCTAAGGGAAGTCAGAGCAGGAAAATCTGTGCTGGCACCCCAAGCAGTCCCACAGGTGACTGCAGTGCCTCAGGATTGCCATGGAAACACCAGCAGGTCATGGACACGTTAAGGACACCACAGTCAGAGCCTTTCAAACACAAAACTCAGCAGAGATGCTGTTCCTCCTCATGCAATACACCTTAAAGAAGCAAAAGGAATGAATAACCTCCTCCTTTTCTAAACCACCCCCCCAGTACAAAGCAGGATTTTTTTCAGAGTGCAATGGTTATCCCCTGGTAAAACATGAATGTTGATTCTTGGGGTAAATCTGACAGAGCACCACAGTGAAGGAAGGCTTTTTCACAGTACACAGAATTTATATTCACTGTGCCGTGCCACAAATCCAAGCAGCAGCAAAGGCAGCTCCACTGAAAACAGCCATTCACCATTCACTGCTCAAGTGCCATCCAGAATTCTCCCTTCACTTCTCTTTCTCAATGGATTAACAAAGATAACAGCTGCTCTAACCTGGCTCATGCTGTAATTCATCTCTGCAGATAAAGCCAGCACTCTGAGACAATCCATTCAAACTTTCACTCCAAGTTTTTTAGCTAAAAGCATGATTAACTCCTCTTCCAAGACCTGAAGAGATTTCTCCTCCAATTCTCCCCCTCCACCCGTAACAAATTTTCCCTTAGCACTGCTGCCACCTGCTGAAAGCACAACGAGGCAGGCACAAGGGGGAAAGCAAAGATTATTTTTTGTGGTTCATTCAATTATGAACCAGACAGTAACTGCACAGCAAAGCTGCTTTCATCTTTAAAGATTTCCATTCTTTAGCTGTGTTAAATTTTGGCCACCCCTATAATCTGTTATAAAAGGCAAATAATATGTTTAACATTAAAGGGACTTGACATTAACAGAGTTATTCAAGATTTACTAGAGGCAGAAAACTGTTATTAATAAACTCCCCTTTAGGGGTTCTTTTTCCACAGAACATCATTAGGAACTCCATTTCACCTCCTCTCTCAGAGATCATCCCTCTGGGGCTGCATCCCTAAATCAGGGCAGATTATTTGAGCACAGACCCCTGACAGATAAAGCTCAAACCCCAAGAGATTCTTTCCCAGCCCTGTAAATTCCTGCATGTGCAGAGAGAGCAGAGCAGTTACCGGCTTCTGCAGGCGCCCGGCCACATAGAGAGTGTTCCAGTGAAACAGATCCTCAATCAGGGCATCAGTGCTAATCACTCCATACTTTATCATCTGCAAAAAAAACACAAAAGAAAGGCTTTGGAAAAAACTTCTACCTGCACTGTTTTCCCTACATGGAAGTTACTACTTGCTATAAATGTCCTTAATCCCAAGGCACACACACCTCCAATAAAAGACTGGAAAACATTTTTATCTTTTAATTAACAGATGATGTAAAAGAAAAATCCCTACATGGAACTTACTACTTGCTCTAAATGTCCTTAATCCCAAGGCACACACACCTCCAATAAAAGACTGGAAAACATTTTTATCTTTTAATTAACAGATGAGGTAAAAGAAAAATCCCTACATGGAACTTACTACTTGCTATAAATGTCCTTAATCCCAAGGCACACATACCTCCAATAAAAAAAAATGGAAAACATTTTTATGTTTTAACTAACACATGAGGCAAAAGAAAAAATCTCCCTCCTATTGACATTCCAACTTCTGCAGGGAGAAAATGGAATGCATGAAACTAAGATCCTTTCTAGAATCAAAGCTGCAATAAAGCCAGCAGCCAAATATTACAACAGCTGGGATAATCCACATTAGCCTTTATATTAAAAAATATAGTAAAAAATTATATTTATTAAAAGTATTTTAAAATACTGAAGCAATAGTTTGTCAGAGACCTAAATTAAAACCTCGAGACATTTGTGTATCCTGTTATTGGGAGGTGGGGTGTGTATCAAGGAGTTTTTTTCTTTTGCTATTTGATGTTAAGAAAAAAAAATTGTGATTTTGCAGCTTATTTTATGTAACTGGACTTTCCACAGTTTGTTACCAGAATTTCCAAAGATTATCACCACAGCAAGGCAGGCAGCTCCAGAATTTCTGGATACCAAAGGAGCACAGGCTGTGATAGGACTGAGACATCAGAACATAAGAGCAGGGCATGAGGAGCCAAGAACACAATGTCATGGCAAACACCACTTCAAATTAAATCCCAAATCCCTTTTTACACCAAAATAAGGGTTAAACCCCAATATCTCATAGAGGGACAAGAACAGCAAGACTGACAGTCCTCCCTACCAACCACAGAGGTGCAGGAACAGAACTGCTGGACAAGAACCATTTACCAGAATCATTGATTACACCCAAACCTCACAGGTCAGGAGATGAGGCCCTAAACAACACAAATGTCAATTCCAGCTTGCTGTGGTAAATTGCATTTTATATCAAACAGCCCACTTTGCTGTGACTACATGGTCAACTGCTGAAATGAAGCACCACCACCAAAACTAGCAGACAGAAAGCAATAAGGAATATAAATCCAGCTCCTGAAATGCTTTAGCTCTAAGTTCCAAACACTGCTCACACTCCTAAGGTGTAAGACAGGCTGCTCTGTTTCCTTTTTAATTAAAATGCTGTTAGTGAAGCAGTTTGAGACATAAATATTGAAGATACCACGAGTTAATCTACAATTACAATCTGCAATATTTGCTTCCTCAAATCTGCTTTAAGCTAATCATTTTAATACTTCACAGACATAAATATTTGACTCCATTCACTCACACTGCTTGTACTTACCCTGCCATTGCATGGCACTAAGGTGTTGTAGTAAATCCCTGCTCCATATCCCTGTATGGCACTTATGTTTTTGGGCCCAAAGAATTTAAGGAAGGAATAATGACTCCTGTTCTTTGACAAGTTTGTCATATGCCAGGTCACAACATCATCAACAGCAAACACGAAGTCCAGCATATTTGTCTGAGGAGAACAAGAGAAGTGGTGGGGTTTAAATGTCAAGAAGAACCAATGTTATCATAATAATTTAAGATATACTCAACAGCAAACTTCCAGCTAAATATTTTTCATGAGTAAAAAAATAAAAAGCCAAACCATAAGTATTAATGTCAGATACAGTTCAAAGGTTCCAGTGAAGTTGTATGTTTATTTTCAAGTATATCAGACAGTCCAAAATTTTCCTGTCCTGGTCAAGACCAAATTTTAACCCTGCAGGACAGGGGAGCAGGTGTGAGATGTTCCCACCCAAACCCACAGCTGAGTGGAACAGCTCACAGTGCTAATGAACGGCACTTTTTGGCCATGAATGGGGGAATGTGGGCAGATAAAGGCACCACCCGAGAGCTGGCAGCAGGGAATTGCATTTCTAGGATATTCCTTTGTAGTGTATTCCTTTGCTTTTCTCAACAAAACCCAAAAAATAAAAATAAACATTATTTCCAAGCTGTGAAGATGAGGAAGCTCCCCAGACTGCCATTTCAGTGCGGCAATATATTTGAAATTCCCCTCATACTGTGCACAGCAGTTCACGAGATGCAGTAACTCTAAAAGCAGAGATAAACAACCTGACACACACCGGGCTGAGAGGGACCCCGAGCCCCCACAGTGCCAGCCCCACTGCCGGG